CTTTTCCTAGGAACCTCTAACAAGAGTCACATCCCCTCCTCTGTGCATCTGTAGTATTTAATGCCACTAATGGATGGCTCATTGAATTGTATTTTTAATAGAATTACCTGTGGATAGCTCAGTGTCTCTACCAGACTGTAATCTCCCTGAGAGTAAAACTAATGTTCATATTACCCATTGAGCTAGTCATGATACCTTACATAGTAGGCACTCAAATATTTTTTTAATAAATACTTGGTCAAGGAATATTAAAAAATTCTGTCATTTCCCTTTTCTAAGTGACACTTGGGAATTATTCCATTGTAAGGATTTAATGGAACAACTAAAAGGATAGACTTGGGGTTCCTCAAACATACAAAATAGGTTGTGAAACTATCCTGTACCTGCTTGATAATAAATACTTATTTAATAAAAAAAAGATTTAAAAATATTTTGGAAACAGCAAATATAAATTTTAAAATGAGTCATGTCACTCTAGAAAAACTCATGCATGATTTACAAGATTACTATAAAAAAAAAAACTCCTGGTTCTACTTTGAACTCCTACTCTTTTTCAGAGCCCTTTGCATGTACATGAGAACCTTTCTTTCTTAATGCTTTTCCCTTTAGAGTAGCAAGATCTCTCACACCCCAGAATGTGGAAGTGTACTGTTCTAAGGTTAAAATGGAATAGCACTTCAAAATTAAAGACCAACATAAAAATGTTCTTCCTTAAATTTTATAACCTGAATAAGATTAGTGATACTATTTTTTGTGTGTTTCTTTGTCTCATGTTTTCTGTTCTTGCAGGTCTTTTTATTTATTTTTTATTAAATTTATTAGGGTAGCGTTGGTTAGTAAAATTATATAGGTTTCAAGTGTACATTTCTATAATACATCATCTATATATTGCATTGTGTGTTCACCATCCAGAGTCAGTTCTCCTTCCATCACCATATATTTGATCCCCTTTACCCTCTTCTACCACTCCCCTCCCCCCTTACCCTCTGGTAACCATTAAACGGTTGTCTGTGCTTATAAGTATTTTTGTTTGTTTGTTTCTCCTGTTTGTCTTGTTTGGTTTTTGCTTTCAGTTTGACACCCACATATGAGTAAACTTATCTGACTCATTTCGCTTAGAGTGATAATCTCAAAGTCAATCCATGTTGTCACAAATGCACTATTTCGTCTTTTCTTATGGCTGAGTAATATATATATACCACATCTTCTGTATCCAATCATCTATTGAAGGACATTGGTTGTTTCCATGTCTTGGTCACCGTGAATAATGCTGCAATGGGTATGTATATCTTCACAGATAAATGTTTTCAAATTTTGGGGGTAGATACCCAGAAGAGGGATCACTGAGTTGTATGGTAATTCTATTCTTTTTTTTTTTTTTAAGATTTTTTATTGGGGAATTGGGGGAAGGGGAACAGNGCCTCAACCCACCATGTCAGGAAGATGTGAGAAGGATCTTTTGAAGAAAATGTGGTCTTGTTTTGTTCACAGGGGATGAAGGCGGATGAAGAGAGGGAATGCTCTAAGTACTTAATATTGTCTTTTTCTTGCTATTCAAGTGTTTCTTCACTTCACTTGTAAACATACATTGTGATTCACTGATTATTCGTAGAGGGTGTTAAAATGGGACTTGGCCCATCACAGAGAGTGTATTGCCCTCATTAACTATCTATGACTCTATCCTCTTCTCATATCTTTTCCAACCATGTGGGGGAAGGAAGTAAAACTAGAAAGACACACAAAAAAATTGACCACATTCCCTTTCCACTTATAGTATTCCAAATTTTGGTCACATCTGATGAAGATGAGTAATGGTGAGGCATTAAATAGGATGAAAGACTGATATTTTTACACCAGATTTTAATGTGCTTTTTAATATCTGAAAATGAGACTGTTCACTGATACTTTAAAGTCACCTAAAAAGTTACGGAATTTATATGAACCACTGCCAGAGTTAAAGAAAAGAGAACCCACTTCGTTCAGCTTAGAACAAGTGGTGGAAGGAAAATATGGTTGCTTCTTATCTTTTACTGGTAAATCCAGCTTGTTCACTAAATCAGTCAAATACCAGAATGATATAATTAGAAAAAGGGGACTATGCTAATGCATTTACAAGTAGTTACTTTTTAAAAGAACAACTGCTAACTTATCTACAAAATATGTAATATATATTATATGTTATATATTAATTATATATCATATATTAATATGTATAATATATTAAGATATATTATTAATATATAATATATATAATTAATACATTAATAATGAACCAAATATCTATATACCTGTTTCAACTTGAACATCCAGTCTCTGAAGTACATTTATAAAATCCAAATGCATCTGTTTAATTTCAAAAGTAAAAGCATATAAGGTGGCAGGTTTCAAATGATCCCACTCATAAACAATGACATTATTTTGCATAATTTGTGAAGTATGATTAAGAGATATTGACACTGCAATGTCATTGGAAGATACCACACTCCAGTTAAAAGAAACACTTGTACTTGTTGCTATTGTTTTAATATTTCTAATTGAGATTCCCCCTAAAAAAGTCAGAAAGAATAATTAGTATGTTTTCAAATGAAACTGAATGAAACACAAAGGATATTGAATTATGAAAGATTCACCAAGGTGGGAAAACATTATCAACTATAAAATATTTTCTAGACTATATGGCAGTTTCTGGTACCCTATTTAGAATGATTGAATTAGATTACAAATCCACATTATAATATTTTTTAGAATAATCTGGATTATACTTAACATTTCCGCTATACCTACCTATTTAAATTATCACACATTAAATGCCAAAACTGAGAATGCTATTCTTAGTTTAGTTTACAATTTCCTTTAAATATTGACATTTACATTACATTTAAATAATAGAATACTACCATCATGATGTGATTTTCAACTACCATTACATACCTATTAATCACTGTAAAATTCAAATCCAAATTCCCATCTATAATTAGGTAATCTAGCTGAACAACATATACATATGACTTACGGGTTTGAAATGACTTTTCACTTAAAATTTGCCCATATTTTATGGACTGTATAGTGATGTGATAGTCTTCATTTTCTTCTAGTGTTATTATTGATTTTGGAAGTTTTTGTGGGTCTGCAGGAATGCTTTTGACATTCTGTAAATAATGAGATACATCTGCTTAAGAAACGTTTACTAATTCTGTGTCAGATACATTAACAGTTTGACTATTGTAAATCTCTTTCATAAGAAACAGCTTTTCCAATATGGAATATAAACGTATGCATAAAATATATATCTATTTTTTTATATAAAATATTATTTTTAAATAACTACTGTCTGTGTAGTATACAAATTCTAAAAAGGAAGATATATAATCATTCCTATGAAAAAGCTAAGTATTGTTTTGATGAAGTACTTATTAAAGATAATTCATAAAATGCTAACATTTTAAATATTAATAAAAGTAAGAAATCACAATAACTATTAAGTCCCCATTTCTGGTGTGGCATTTAGTTACAACAAATTTACACTATGCTTACTTCTCATCAAAGCCAAAAAAATGATGCCTTACTTTTTGAGCAAAATTATTAACAAGTTGGTATTTTAAAAGATAAAATTCAGGATTTTCTCCTTTAGGAAATTCTTCCCATTCAATAAAAGTTGTTGTTGTTTGCTTATTTATTGGTATATAATAAAAACATTTTGAGATCTGAAATGGGAAAGAAAAATAATGGTGAAATAATTTAAAAATGAATTCTTGGTTATTATCTTATGAGCAAATTTACAAAAATGAAACCTAAAATAGGCTAAATTATAACTGAAAACTTTTTCAGCAATATTGATTTCTACATGACTTAAATAATAGCCACTGCATACTCTATTTGTAAACACAGTTTTGAAAATGACTTAAGAAGGGGAAGTAAAATAAGATCCATGTTTCTCCAACTCAAACTAGGAAACACCGTATTCCCAGGGTCCTGGAGAAGGAAGACTCCAAGTCATGGGAAAAACACGACACACCCTCCTGGCACATCAGCTGTATACTTTGATCGTAATGGCTACAAAACTGAATTATTCAGACATTCTTAAAAATACATTTGCAATGAAAATAAGTATGAGTGCAAAATGTGTGACTCTGAGTCGTTTTAGAGCCTTGGTTCATTGACAGGTAAAGAAAATGTTACCAATTGAGGCAAAATAGACCATAGGCTCAGAGGCCCTTTATGCTCCCTAGATGATGTGACTTTCACCAAATTCTTCTCTCTCTCTCTCTCTCTCTCCACTGATTATCCCTAATGCCATTTGTAAGCAGTGAAAACAGATGCCATCTATATGCACTAATTTGACAGCACCTAGCAAAGAAAATTTTTCGTAGGTAATAAACCTAATCTTAGGTGTTATTTCTCTAAACACATCCCTTATTTTCCAAAATGGATAAATGCAATGCAATTGTATCTGGTCCATTAACTAATTATTCCTAAAAGGGCACATTCAAAATGTCTTACCTTAACAGCATATTGTATCCAGAACAGTAGAATAATTGATTTCTCCATCTGGAAAACAAAACGTATTCAGTTCAATTAAACATGTATATTTTTAGATTTAATACTAAACTATTAGACATTATGTGGTGTGTATATATGTATCACTTTAATGTCATGTCTTTCACTTTAGACTGCTCATCCAATTGAATGTTAAGTAAGTAGATGCTTCATGATATTCTCCACCTAATAAAATTGGAAACATCAGTGTAGTCCAACAAACAACAAAAAAAATTGTTTCTAGAAGCTGCTACAATTACATATAAAGGAGGTAAAATAAAATCAGGCAATTACACTGCACTATGTGAAACTATTTAACCTTAACGGTTGAAAATCTAGAACACCTACACATTGCTGCTTCTTTAGAAGTAATTCCTCACATTTTATCAACATGAAAAATATTTCAGTATACTGTTGAAACTGAAACTTAAATGGGAGAAACATTCGAAATCCATTTCATTTTTTAAATGCATTCATCTAAAAAGCTTGTGTAGTGTTTCCTAGGAACCTAGAGTGCCTGGGAACCTAAGAGCTTTTTACATTCAAATTAAGATATAAAAAAAAAAGAAGAAAAAAACTGTACTTAAAGTACGTATTTTTAAAACTGAAAAAAAATGTCATTTTAATAATAAACAGGTACCCAGGATCAACTTCAAAACTCCCTGAAGCCCGCCCACTCTACAGGTTTCATCCTACAAAATTCTTAGTTCGAATTAAGCAAGTGTTCATCTCATAAAATGCACCCCGTTAAAAAGAAATACCTATTCAGTCCGCAGACTCCTCCACAAAACTGCAAAGGTTTAATTGTTCATTTTTCTTAGCAAAAGTGTTCTTACTCGGGGTCGCGCGCGGTATTAATTCTCACCCCGCCCCCGCCCCCCCCCCAAAAAAAAACAACTAAGTGTAGTATAGAATTGCAAAGGCTTGTGTACAATAATCAGAACACCATCGTGGAAAGATCGCTCCCGCCGCCTGTTCTTCAAGCCCCAAGTCTCCTAATTCAGCTGTGAGTCACAAGATCAGCGCCCAGGAGCGGGGAAGCAGAAGCGCGCTGTTTTAGACACAGTCCTGAGAAGCCAACTTTTAACCGATGGGAGAGAACAGTATAAAGGAAAGAACTGGGGGGTTAAAAATGGTCAGACCAGTGGGGGAAGGAGGAAAGAGCAGAGATCTGGCAGTCACAGCGCGGGGAGCGCACAGCGGAGGAGCCCTCGGGTGCCAGGCGCCCCCTGCAACCCGCGGGGACACGACCCGGACGCTGACCCCGAGCAGCGCCGCTGGCGCTTTGCTCTTTTCTCGCTCCGACTTGCTGCGCGCGGTGACCGGGCCCCGGAGGCGCGGAGCCCGCGCAGGAGCCCGCTGTTCGCAGCCCACCTCGCGGCCGGCCCGTGTGCGTCCTCGTCCCGGCTGGTCCCCGCGAGCCCTCTCTCTGCTCCGCTCTTCCCGCCACTGCTCTGGGCGGGGTTTCTTCCCGCCGGAGGTGTCCTCTCCCTCGGTGGCGTTAATTAAGTGGTCTCCATGGCAACGGTGAGCAGCTGGAAGGGAGAGAGGTGGGAGGCGAGTCCCAAAAACATTGATATGTGGAGGAGAATTACACTCCGCAAGGAAGAAGGGAGGCAAGGGTAAATAAAGCATTGAAGGAGAACGCGTGGGAACCATTGGCTTCTCATGAAAAAGAAACAGAAGCCGACCATGTGGCTGGCCCTGGTTGGGCGCGGTTTTCAGTTCATCCACGTGGCTATGTATGAAGCCACATTCTTACATTCAAATGTCGTGTGCTTTGTTTCCTGCAGCATTTGACAGTGTTGATGGAACCCTTTCTGCTTCCTGAGAACCTCTCTTCAGTTGACCTCACCAACCTGGTTCCTCCCTGTTATCACCCTCACCTGATTCTTCCATCTTCTTAGTCCACATCATCCTCTGGCTTTTCCAATTTAAAATTTGGCTTGACCCATGGTGCCTTCCTTCAATCTGGGTTATTTCATTCACCTTTGTGTTTTCCGTTATATCCAAGACTCCCAATCACTTCGTCTTGGAGCTCACTTCTTTCCAGGGCTTCAGAGCGGTATTTACAGCCTACCCTCCACCTGGATGCTCACCACTGGCAACTCAAAACCATCTTTCCAACACTAAATTCATGATCTTTCCTCTCCCAGCCCTTCCTGAGCAGAGGGTTGGCAAAACAAACAAAATCACCCACTCTGCCTTCTCAGATCGTTTCCCTCACTACCCAAAGCCAACCTGTCCTCAAAAATCCCTTGGATTCCACTTCTAAAACATCTCTTAAGGTGATTACTGACCCTCTATTCCCACAGCCATGGGCTTCATTGAAAACCTTAATTATCTCTCGCTCTGGAAAGTATGTGCCATATATAAGTGTTGGAACCTCAGATCAGATCCTATTGCTTCATTTACTAGCTGAGCATCTCTCTGAAAAGGTGATTGTGGTCAAGAGTGAGATTGTAGAGCACTTAGTAAAGTATAAATACTTTATAATAGAGTGACAGCTAATATTGGTTCACTGGGATTACTACCAATAGAATCATACTTGGACTATGTCTCCTTGTCTGATACCCCAATCTCTCCTACAAGTTAGCGAGTGTGATCCTTCTAAAATACACAGTCATGCCTGGGGTGCTTATTTAAAAGCTATTCTGATTCTTGGTTACTTACAGGGTACCTCTGACCAAATTCACTTTTCAATATCACGTCTCCTCCTCCTTGGCACCCTAACTTACACTCTCAACGAAGTAACAGACCATAAACGTTTCAACCTCTGTTTTCCTATAGAACTTTGTTTATATTGTAGCACAAAAGTTTACTTTTTATGTGTTTATGTCCTCAGCCAGATTAGGAACTCTTGATGGCAAAGACTATATCTTAATTCAAGCACAGTTATAGATATGAACTATATTTATGTTGCTTAAATCCTGAGGGTTCTATGTATCTTACGTCTTTAAAAGTCGAAAGTGTCAAAGCAATATATCACAAAATGATTTCATTGCCAGTGAATTAGCTTTTAGGCTTTGGTAAATATGATCAAATTAAAAATCCACTAATGTTAACTAAATTTGTTGCGGTAATTACTTTGCAATATATACATATATCAAATCATTATGTTGTACACCTTAAACTTCTACAATGTTATATGTCAATTATATCTCAATAAAATCAGGGGGGAAAATAAAAAAACTGGTCATAATAAATGAATAAGTAATCCATTAAGTGAATTAAACAAAGTATATATATATATATATATATATATATATATTTCAATATGGCATTTTTTTGTCATACATTTGCTTTGCAAACAATGGAATTTTAAATAAGCTGCTATCATAACACTACCACCTTCTGTGGTTTACATCAGTCTCTCTCCTAGGTCAATAAACTTGGTAGCACTTTAATCAGTATGGTTTCCTTCAAAAGCTCTCCTTCCTGAGGAGGTTTTCTATGAAATAGTGTGGGCTTGTCCCTGCCCTACCCTTTGATTTGGCCTAGGAACTTAGGTATAGAGAAATTAAGTGAAAGATTCAAGAAAATTATGGGTCATTTCTTTTGGGGAAAAAAAAAGGAAACTGTAGATTTAGTACTATTTCAGGGCATTTATTCTTAAGGAAAATAATTTAGTTTTCAGATGGAAGCCATTTATGCACTAATGGAAATCATTACTACCTTATAACATGAATTTCCAATTAGAAAATATGTTGTTTGGGGTCTTATTTACATATCTTTTATGAAAGAAAAGCTATGTCTTCACCAAGAGGTTAGGTAGACATATCTTCATAACCACATCCCCGATAGAAATGTGACAAAAATACAAGTAATCACAATACTCACCCCTTCCTCATTTTAACTTCCAGTCATTTATTCAACAAAAACATTGAGTGCCTACTATGTGCCAAGCACAGTGCTAAGCACAGTGATCTAGCGACCAATGTGATTAGTTCTCCCCTTCACAGAGCTTAAATGTGTGTGTGTGTGTGTGTGTGTGTGTGGTGGAGGGAGGGGGAGTTCCACCACACCACCAAGCAATGCTCAGGACACCAGCCGGGTGTCCTACAATTCAACTCAATTGTGATATTATTTACCGAGAGAGAGCATCAGATTCCAAAAGTTAAGGGTTCAGTGCTACAATCCCCCCTCTCCCCTCTTTAGATGCCAGTCACAGCCCAGGTTGTTACCTTTTCTTCTGACCAACTCGCTACAGATTGAAGGTTCCCACCACTCTATTCTTGGATTCAATTAATTTGCTAGAGTGGCTCACAGGACTCAGGTAACCCGTTTATCTGATACTGGTAAGGAAATTATTGTTTTTCACTAGATTACTGGTTTATTATAAAAGGATATAACTCAGGAACAGCCAGATGGAAGAGATGCACAGGGCAGGTAAGGGGAAGGGATGTGGGGCCCTCTCCAGGTAGGCATTACCCCACATCTTCATGTGTTCACCAAGCCAGAAGCTCTCCAAACCTTGTCCATGTGGATTTTTGTGGAGGCTTCATTAAGTAGGCATGATTGATTAAATCATTGGCTCTCAGAGATTGATTCAACCTCCAGCTCCAGGTCACTGGGACTGAAACTTCCAACCCTCTAATCACAGGGTTGGTTTCTTGGCAACCAGCCCCGATCCTCAGGTGTGGTCAGAAAGTCACCTCATTAACATAACAAAAGACCTTTATTGTTCTCATCACTTAGAATATTCCAAGGGTTTTAGGAGCTCTGTGCTCAAGACAGAAAAAAAACAAATAAGCTCCAGAACTTGTTGCAACGATGTTGCTAACCTTTTTTTGATATCAGAGGGATTATTCATTATGAATTTGTACCAACTGAACAAACAATTAACCAAGTTTACTATTTGGAAGTGCTGAACAGGCTGCGTGAAAAAGTTAGACGACCTGAACTTTTCGCCAACAATTCATGGCTCTTGCATCACAACAATGCACCAGCTCACACGGTCTGGAATGGAGTTTTTAGTGAGTAAACAAATAACTGTATTGGAACATCCTCCCTACGCACCTGATCTGGCCCTCAATGACTTCTTTCTGTACCCAAAGATAAAGCAAATATTGAAAGGAAGACATTTTGATGACATTCAGGACATCAAGGGTAATATGACAACAGCTCTGATGGCCATTCCAGAA